TGATTCAGTCCAGATCAGCTGGACTTCTAGTCTAGATGTGGATCAATAAAGTCTGAGGTTCATCCAGAGCTTCTAATGGGCTTTCATGGCATTTGCAGTGTTTTATCTGGTGAGGATAAATATTTTTTTCTGTGTTTAATCACCTATAAATCAGACATGCTGACATTTAAAATAGTGGCTCCACCTGAAAAACATTCATCAATGCCTTTCCATTATACAAACACAAACAATCGTATTATTAATTTATAGTTTGGAAGCTGAACTTGCTTTAATTCACTGATGTAATTTCAGGTGGAATTTGCTGCTAAGACCCTCTGGGCTTAAGGGGTCTAACACCCCCTGCTGTCGGGTTCCCTCCTCCTCCTCCATCAGCCGTACTTACTGACGATGTGCCCCGTAGTCTGGAAAGCCAGCTCCACGATGGTCTCGTCCCGATCGGAGGCGGCCTGGTGGAACACAGAGAAGATGTTCTTCCAACCGGAGCGGATGTTGGCAGCCTGGGAGTTCACCATCTGGGCCACGCAGCGGATCACCATGTCTTTGATAGTGGGAGACCTGCCAGACGGAGAAGCCGGATATGATCAGGATGTCTGTCCTGGTCGGTTGTGGTCTGGGGATGGGTTCTATCAGGGAGCTCCACCTGTTCTTTTTCATGATGTGCTCAAAGGGCCTGAGGAAGTCCTTCTGGAAGCGGAAGTTAGCCAGCTCTCCTTTCTCCAAGAACTTCATGGAGAGCTGCCTCAGTGAATCCACGGCAAAGATGGCGACGTCCTCGTTGGGGTTACAGCCCACCTGGAACATAAACACAGGAGCCGTTAGCTTTCAGACCGTCCTGGTTCACTTTAACATCCCACTGTGGGACAGTGAAGGGATTTGTTATTCTATTCTACTTAATTCTTCATCAAAATGAATTATTTCTTAGTTTTCATTGAAAATAGCTCGTCTCCTTTCCTTCACCCTACATCGGCGGTTTTCAAAGTGTGAGGCGCGCCTCCCCTAGGGGGCGCCGGAGCACTTTAGGGGAGCCGCGGTGCGAGGGAAAAAATAAACCGGAAAATAATTTTTAGTAAAGAAAAAGGCAGGGGAGACGAGCTCTGGCGTAAGTAGGAACAAGAGTTTGAGAAAACAGTTGAAAAGTGAGTTTGGGGTTGTTCTTATCATTAGAAAAATGAAAAAAGGGCGTATTTGCCATACAAAGGCCCCGATAAAATAATTATAATGGGAGGAAATGTTTT